AAAGGAAAGGAAAGGAAAGGAAAGGAAAGGAAAGGAAAGGAAAGGAAAGGAAAGGAAAGGAAAAGAAATTCTCCTGGCACAACTTGTGCCTTGAATCCAATTGAGCAACTTTTCCAAGCCTACCTAGATGCTTGCATACTAGGGTTAATAAAATCCAACACCTTCAAAAACTCTACATTCAAATCCAGAAATTACAATGTGATTTTCCTGAGAAATTAGTTCTTAAGAAAACTTTTCACATATTTTAAACATATTTCAATAGAATATTAGTCGTGCAAGGGAACGAGTCACATAATCATATTTACATTCAAGTATGTCATTCATTCTGACCACATTCACACTCCAAATTCCTCTCCTGTCTTCCCAAATAGCTCTCTCTTTATACACGTATGTAAATGACATACATATAAGAATATATATCAATATCACATGGATGTGCTTGTGTTTGTGTTACAATATTTGTTTTGGGGTGTGTCACCATCCAGTCTACAATAATTCCTATTAATATTAAAATAATTATTCCCATTGATATTTGTATTGATATGATCTCTGATAATAAATTAATTTTCAGCAAACATTAAAATGTTAATGGAAAGTAAGATCAAGTAATCTCTCATAAAATTAAATGTCTACCTACTTTCCTTAATATTTTGATTCTTTCACATGTTTCCCCAATACTATTTGTTAGCACAGGTGTTAAAAAAATCAATGTGAAGGGAATCTCCAGCATCCATAAATATATGACTTACATTTTTTTATGGTTAATGGGGTCTTGTAAAATTAATTGGACAAGGCAGTTAAATATCTACAATAAATGAGGGTAGAAGATGTAACAAGCAACGAAGAGGAATGGGAATTTTTACTTCAAGGAAATCATAAATACACACTACTTTGGGGTGAAACTTGTTCTAAATATAAACAGAACTTCTAAATTTACATGAGAAATTGTTCCTTAAAAATAAGTTACTTTAAAAAAACATGAATATTTCATTTTAAAATAGCCAGCAAATTACAGTCCGACCATTGAATATTTATTTATTTATTTATTTATTTATTTATTTATTTTTGAGACAAGCTTTCTCTGTGCAGCCCTGCCTGTCCTGGAACTCACACTGTTTACCAGGCTGGCCTAAAACTTAGAGATCTACCTGCCTCTACCTCCTATTGCTGGGAATTAAATATATGTGATATCACCACTCACAGAATAAGTTTCTTAAAATATACTGTTACCTTTATTGACACATAACTACCAAACAAGCTTATTGGGTATACTTTGTGCTGTTTCAGGAAACACAAATACATGCAGAATCACAATAAAATCAGCACAATAATATGATATTCTGCCAACATATTTTATTTTTTGTGGTGAAAACACAGAAAATCCTCTCTTTTCCTTGTGTTGAAATATTTAATACAGTGCTTTAACTTTGTTCATCTTACTTGGTAATGGTACATGACGATGTGTTCCTTCTAGGTAGATTCAATACAACAGATGACAAAACTCCTTATCATTCTTTTCCTTCTCTTCTTCCTATGAAGGACTAACAAATCTTCTATCTTCCTCCATGAGATCAACTTTCCTAAGTGCCTGATATGAGTGAGTTCTTAAGGATTTATGTTTTTATGCCAACCTAATTTCACATATTTTTTTAAGGACTATCGGTTTTTAAAAAATCTAATGGTGAGATTTAATTCTTCTAGGTGATTGAAGAAAATTTGCATGTCTCAAAATAGTGCAAAGCCCCAAAGTTTACAAAGATAAAGCATCTTGGGAGAAATAGCAATAAAATTGAAATTGAGGTTTGGAGAATGAAGATGATCACACCTTCACTGACATGATTTGTGGAATGTCCATGGACAAGCAGGGCACATTGCACTGTTCTGTGTTGCATGCTGTTCTAATCCTTTCCCCTGAGATCCTGGCTATCCCAAGGGATAACTTCACTATTAACCAGAGGCGACTCCTGAGCATTGGACTAGAACACTATAAAGGAACCACAGCCACTAGATTTATAGAGTGCAGATTATATGATACAACAGGTATGTTTACATCATCTTCACTGTGTCTTAGATTATACGACAGTTATACAATATAGAGATAATAAAATCAAATGAGAAATGAATACTGAAAATGAAGACATAGTACTATATATTTGAATGTTAACTAATAGATATTTGAAGAATTTGATTTGATAGAGATGAAGTGATTGTTTTCAAACATATTATCATTCCTTGAAGAATTATGTTATTTTGTGTTATGGGGTGATTACTAGTTATGTTACTCGTGATACAAATTGAAAAAACCATTTCAAGAAATCAGTTGAAGAGAATGAAGTTTGGGTAATAGCTGTGAGTAAGCTCCTCATCTAAGTATGGTCAGAGTCTGAAATTAAAAGGTAGAAAAAAATCTCTAATATGCTTGTGAAAGTATACTGCATGCTAAAAAGCTTCTAGTTGCCCTTAGAACAATTAATTATCCATTTATTGGGTTTCTGTAAATTCCTTTCTGTGTTCCAAATCTGATGAATGAGACTGACAAGTATATAAGGAAAGGAACAAAACTAAGGAGAGATAGTGACTGTGAAGGAAACATCAGAGTTAAGTAAGCCTGGGTGACAAGGATCATTTTAAGGCATCTGATTTTATGATAGGATGGTTAGTGTTGCAACCAAATAAACTTTTGTCTCTTTCCTAACAACTGTGCTTGAAATTATTTCCTGTTATATTCAAATAATCAATTGTATGTTTGATAATCAATCATCAGATTCCATTTTGAAGAAGCTAATCATGTTTAGTAAGTTACAAAAAGATGATAATTTTAGAATAACCTCTTTCCATGGTCATGTTAAACATTAAAACTGAGCCTTCCTCACTAAATTTTTAAGTTTCTAAAATGAAACTGAAGCCTATTGATTGCTTACTTTCCCAATAAGAAAGTTGGTAGACATATCAGTGAAATTCCTCAAACAGGAGAGTTTCAATTGGTGTGATGTAGCTATGCCCTGTGTTTTAGCCATTACACAGGAGAGGCAGACTATGTTGTTCTGATGGTGGCTAATCAATAATCATTCTATTGAATACTCTTCTTATTATTATTTCCTAGGAAAGTACTTTCAATATGACTAAATTGCTTTGATCTCTTCTCTTTGTGGTGTTTAAAATTTCAATGTCTTAAAGTCAAATACCTCTGCACATGAATATTTTCTGTTTTACCAAATGAGGGATTGCTCAATGCTGAAATAGAAAATGGAGTTAAGAAGATTTAAAAATGTTTATACTTTCCCTCTTGAAAACATAAAATGTATACATTTGATGTTGATGGATGTTAACACAAATATTGCATATAATTTGATGTTCTTGGTTCTTAGTATGTCTTGTTTGAATGGTCAACTATTTAATTATGATAACAAAGAATAACAGCAAAATGTTAAAAGGATAATATAATTATTGGAGCATTTGTTTATTTTATATTTATATCTACATCCCTCATTTTAGTTCCTCAACAATCTTTGGCTTAAATACAATATACTTACATTTTTAGTAGCTTTACTTTCAATGAAAAATGAAATTACAAAAATGAAAAATTTACAGTAAGGTTTAATTCGATCTTGAATTCATAAAATCACCAAACAAAACCTAATGTACAATATTTAATCTTTTCTTTTGCAGATAAGGTTGATGATGCTGCACAGGATGACGTTTTGGAAACCTAGGCTAGAAATTCTAGATTCACTACATAAATACCTTGAATAATGGCTTTACAATGCTATCTCTTCTTTGAGGAGATTATCCTGGTTATTATACAGTATACTTGAAACATCCTTAGTTTTAACATGGTACATAATACAACTCATCAGTACATTTCAATTTTCTACCTGGTTGGTATTCCTGGTTTAGAAAATTTTCACTACTTGATCAGCATCCCTGTCTGCTTTCTGTTTGTCATGACTCTGCTGGGGAACAGCATAATCATTGCTACTATCAAACTAGAACCAAGCCTTCACCAGCCTATGTATTTCTTCCTTTGCATGCTGGCAATGAATGACATTTTTCTTACCTGTTCCACATCCCTGAAAATGCTTGCCATTTTCTGGTTTAATGAACACTGGATTGAGTTTGATGTCTGTCTAACACAAATGTATTTTATCCACACTCTTTGCACTTTTGAGTCAGCCATCCTGGTGGCCATGGCTTTTGATCGCTTTGTGGCCATTTGCCTTCCACTGCACTATTCAACCATCCTTACAACAGCCATGGTTATTAAACTGGCTGTAATTGGCTTGCTCAGAGCTGTGTTCATAGTTTTGCCCTGTCTTTTTCTCATTAAGAGGCTGCCCTACTACACAAGCTATATAATCCCTCATACCTACTGTGAGCATATGGCTGTGGTGAAGTTAGCCAGTGCTAACACTCTCATTAACAGAGCATATGGCATCTCAGCGGCCCTTTCAGTAACAATATTGGACATATGGCTCATAGCAACATCTTACATAAAAATTCTCCAAGCAGTGTTCCGGCTATCTTCCCAGAATGCCCGCTCTAAAGCCCTGGGCACCTGTGCTGCTCATGTCTGCACTATTCTTGCCTTCTATACACCTGCACTGTTTAGCTTCCTAACTCATCGCATTGGCAAGAATGTGTCTCCAAGTGTCCACATCATCTTGGCAAGCATGTACCTTTTAGTGCCCCCCACAGTCAATCCCTTGGTGTATGGTGTCAAGACAAAACAGATTCGGGATCGAGTTCTGAGTCTCTTCTCACACTTGAAAATTACTGTATACTAAACCATTTAAATAACATTTGTGTTAGAAGAATATGTCTCATGAAATGATGGGGTATTAACTAAAACTTGCTTTATTGCTATTGTATAATGGTATTTCTCTTTTATGTTATTTTTTATAAAACAGATTTATGGAATGATGTAATGTTTTTGTACTGATCTTCTGCTTTTTACTTTACATGAACTGTCTAATTTATCACTTCATTCGGTATCTTTACATTGCACAATTCTGGTTCAGAATATGCACATATTATCCATCATTCCATATCTTCCTGTCAATTTCTCTGTGTACACTTCATTTCTAGTGACAAATTTCTGCTGAAAATAAATGCAATGATTTCAGTTTTAGTTTCATATGTAGATGTTTGAATGCTGACACTGCAATCCTTCCTTCAGAATAATTCTCAGCAGCTGTTGTCACCTGTACAGTAGCTGTCTGCAACCTAGCCAGTGAACAAACAGTATATATCCTTTAGTAAATAAAAGTATGATCTTTTTGTTAAGAAAATCAACCCTGACAATTTTTCTTCCTTTCTCAAGAGAAGAATATAAGCTGACACATTGCTGCCTCAACATCTGGGTAATCAGTAAAGATAGAACATGTACCTCTACTTGAAACAAGAATATTTGAAGCAGGTATCTTGTGCTCTCTAAGAATTTTAAACACAATTCTTCAGAGATATTAAAATTAGAGGAGGTAGAAGACTTGAGTCTGTGTGAAGAAAGAACATATCAGAAAAGTTACTCATTCATATTAGGTCTCAAATTATTTAATATATACATAGTTTATCACGGAAGTCGTAGACTAACATGTTATGTTAACATACAAATGAGAGAAATGAAAAGCAACCATATTAAAAGGTGTGGTAGAAACTGTGTAGAGGCTACTAAACATTCATACAATCTCTTGGAGAGAATACTGTCAAGTGGAAAATGATGTAACATTATGGTGACAAAACTTTACAGCACCATTAGTTTCACTAAAGCGATGTAAGGGATATAACACTAATCTTCTCTAGAATTTTCAACTAAATAAAAGAGAAGTCATGAAAAGAATAATAAAATAAATTATCATTCAAAATTATTGCCTCAGTGTACTAAAGAGAAAAAAATCTGGAAATACGGATAATGTGCTGAGTAGAAAGTTAAATTTTTCTCTGAAAATCTGGTATTGTTTTTCAATGTGTGTTTTAAATTATTATTAAGGAAAAGATAAAAAGGAGTTGTATTCTAGCTAGAAAATTAGAGATTTTATTTATTAATAATTGAAGTCACTTCTATGAACTTCAAATGTTTCCTCTTTTCTCAACTGAAGTTTATTGACATTGAACCACTGACCTAATAAAATAACAAAGAAGAGGTCCTATTCTCAGCATAGATTAAGGTTATTGGGAGTTAGAATTATTGAGAGTTTGTTATTATAATCGAATTTAATGTTAAATGCCATATAATAAATGCATTGGATCACTTTTTATTTCTGGTACATTTATCAATGATATATATATATATCCACAAATGTAGCTCACAAATGTAGTTATTTGACATCTTAGCTCAATTTCTAAAAATTTTTTGTTTTGAAATTTATTATATATAATGATAATAAATGCAGTATAATATGAAAGAAAATATAATTGTAGCATTTGACCCCAAATACCAAATGTCCATTCCTAAAAACATACATAAAAATAACATTATATAGACTAAGCAAGTTATATTATGAATTTATACATAAATGTATATGCACATAGCTATGTAAAAAGTTAATGAAAATGAGGCCATGAATATGGAAGAGAGCACGTATAGATGTATGTTATGAGAATTTTGATAGAGGAAAGCAGAGGGGACAATTATGTAATAATTTATGACCTCAAAATATAAAATAACTGACATATATATATATAATATTTATAAACTTCATTTTCCCTTTTTCCTTTCCTCCCTCTAACCAAATTAATATAACCTTTCTTCCCCGCTTTTGGTCTCTTTTTCTTTAATTGTTGTCACACACACACACAAGTATGAATGTATATCCCTAACCATATAAATATACTTTGCTCACTCTGTATAGTATATGATTTCAGGGTTGACTCCTTGATATTGTGTAACCAATCATGGAGCTGTTTCCTGATGAAGACTATTTTCTTCCATTCTCAACATTCCTTAGTTTCTTGTAGTGTCTTTGTCTAAGCTTGGATGTATCCCTTTCCATGTGGACATGTCTGTTTGTATTGTCCTTGTTCAAATCTTGTTAATATTCTTGTTCTCTGGCTGTTACATTCTTTGTTCCTGAATGTTCCCTGAGCCTAGAGTGTAGGAGTTGTGTTGTGAATAGCTGGGACTGGGCACTCACAATCACTTGTTTTCTGCTGTTTGATAGGTCCTGATTTTTCTGTAGTAGTTTGTTTCTGTTACAGAGAGGACTCTTTATGATGAGAGTTACACTTTTCTCCAGGTAGAAGGATAAACATTTACAATGAGGTTAGGAATTATGCTAGTTTAATAAAGTCATGGCTGCATGTTCTCCTCTGAGGCTGAAGAGTCCAGATAGCTGTTCAGGTTTCCTGTGCCGGACGTAACTTCCCTCTTCCCAAGTCCATTTAGAAAGCCCCTGGTTACTCCCAAGACAAAAATGACTCTGTGGCACTTTTAGAGGTATTGTGCCAATCTGATAATTTCTGTAATTCATGTTATTTTAACATCTTTCTTTTCCTTGCATTATTGCTATGGCTAAGAATTCAAGCATTAAATAAAAGTAATGAAAGTAGAAGCCTTTGGCAAGTTTTTTATTTTTATGAAAAATGCCTTTTGTTTTTCTCTATTTACTATAGATACTGGCTACTTTAATCTTTTATGTTCTTTATATATTTACTAATTCTTTGATAGTTTTATCAAATGAATTTGCATCATAGTTATCTGGAAATTCTTTCCACACCTTCTAAAATAAATTAATTCACCCCTATCTTTCTACCCCTCATAAACTTACAACTAGTCAAAGTATAGAGAATTAGTGACTCTGGAGTGCTTAGCCACAAGTGGGACATCTTTATCATATCCCTCCTTATGTCTCAGAGGTTATAATTTAAAAAGAAATGGAAATATAGTGAGAGCCAGAAATCCAAAGGAGTGGAGAAACAGTGTCTTCTGTACAATGATAGGACCATTGCTTTCATTAATTCATAGCAACTGTAGTTGTGAATGTAACAACTGCACAATATCAAGCCAGACAGCAGTGTCTATTTTTCAATATGCTCTATTCTAGTTTCTCCTGAACTTTAAAAAATATTTTTATTTATGTCTACCTATGTAGACATAGGTGATAGATGTCTCTGCTTATTTGCTACATATGTATGGGTCCTGTGAAGGCCACAAGAGGACCCTGGAGTTACAGATAATAGTGAGCTTAATAATATAGGAGTTAAATTTAGGTCTTCTACAAGACTGGCAAACACTCTAAATTGCTGACCCATCTCAGTAGCCCCTTAACAGATCTTTTTATTAACTAATTTAAATTTGAGAATTGCTTATATGAGTAATATACATTGTTACACCCATCCAGCTCCTCCTAGCTTTTCCTACTTTGTCTCAAAACTTTCAACCCCTTCTACTTTAATTATTATTATGTACACATATATGTATATAACCTTTATAATGAAGACATACTGAGTGTATCAAAACATTTTTCTGCCTTTAGAAATCTGTTCAAAAATGAAAAGCATTGTCTTAAGGGAAATAAAATTTTAGATGACAAATTGCCAGGTTTTCTTTACTTTTTGTTATTTTTTTCATTATCTTTAATCTTCTGTTACAGTCCAGTCATTGTCCCTCTGCCAGTATGCTCTCTGATAGTTCCTCACCCCATTCCTCTTCCCCAATCTCTAAATCTCTAAGAGGACATGAGGATACCCCCATCCCTCACTCCACCCTACCCCACAAGCTTCTATACATGCTACTGGAGAGAAAGCAGTCAACAACATCACCCAGTTGTGAACCTGTTAGCTATACTAACAACTGCCCTGGTAAGTTAAGCATACTGGCAGAAGAAATAATGTCAGAGTAACTAATAAACTTCTGACTATATTTAAAGCCCACTCCCACAAGTCAGAACTTGTACCATGCACCATTAACTGGAGCCAAAACTGATGGCTAGTTTGGTCATATGTCCAAAGAAAGAACCAAACACTGTATTTCGGTTTAATAAATATTCAGTTACATATCACAAAGTTCTTATCTTTATAATTATTAGGCAGTATATCTCTAGACACTCAATAGAGAAGCATCGTTTTGGAATAGATAGATGGCATTTAGTATACAGACCTACAACTGGTCAATGTCTAGAGAAAAAGAGACTATAGTGGGAACAGTGGTATCAACCCCTCCATTCGAGTTCATAAACCATCCTGAAAGAGGGGGAAGAAAGCCTACAAGAGCCAGAGGTAATAATCAGTGGAGAAACATTATCTATTGGAAATAAAAGGGCCACTGCACATATGACTTCATAGCATACAGCCTTCATATAGTCTGTGACTATATGCACAAGACCTGCACAATATCAAGCCAGCTGAAACGCCAGCATGAATCTGGGAAGAGCTTTTGATATCTTATAATGATAGGAAGAGCTATTAACAGTGATGGTTGCTGAGGATGGGGAGAATATGTTTGTTTGTTTGTTTGTTTGTTTTTTCAGAGATTCAGCCCCTGAATAGCTATTCATGCTTCAGTTTGATAGTCATGCATATCCCCATGCATACTCACAATTCAAATGGATTTATTGAGTTTCAAAAATGAACACATTAAGTTTGGAAGAGCATGAAGTTGGGGGTAAAATTAGAGGAGAGTAAATTTGGGGTAGATTTGATTAAAACAAATTATGTTTGTATGAAAATCACAATCAATAAAAGTCCAGGAAAGGGGATAACAGTTGAAATGTAAAAAGATAAAATATCCTATAAAACATTTTAAAAAAAAAAGGAAATGTTAAGTTGGGCCAGAAAGGTGACTTAGGGG